GTGCTGTTGTGGCTTTATAGTTCGCTATGTTTTCGTGGCTTTGGTTTTTGACTAATATTTTCATTTTCTTTCTTGCACAGATAATTCCAGATCCAGCTGGAAAACTGAAGTATTTTGATAAACTAAACTGAGGCTCGCATCTGTTGAATTCAATAGGTCATATTCAACTTGATTTTTGCCAATAAAATGTCATTAATTTTGGTACTTTTGTGATTGATTAATATGTAACAGCAGTAAAACATTAAAGGGCTCATTGTTTAAACAGAAGTCTAACCTGTGTGAGGCACAGGTATCTCATTAGTTTTCAGAGAATATTCTTATGAAATACAGGTTTTCTCTTTAGGTTGTGTTTAGATGTTCAGTCTTCTCCAAATCCACTGAGCATATTGGGCTTAGATTCATGACTTTTGCTATTAATAGATTTCTTAATTTCTGCAAAAATCTTGTGTGTTTGGTCAGATTCTAGCACTACAGCTAGAAAAGGGCCACTTGGTTATGCTACATTTGTCTGTAGTCTAGGGGCAATAGCAGCTAACTTAAAAGCCAGGAATAAGTTACAGTTGCTGAATTAAATTTCCAGTCTGTGTAAATCTTGAAAGCATTTTTCAGCTACTAAGATCATACCCTACACTATATAAATCAGTACATCTGCTGAAAAAAGCACAGCCTTAGTTCATGTGATTCAAGGGCTGAACCAGTAAATTTTTCTATGCTTAAATTTGTAGTGTATTTGCTGATAAGATCAATTCTGTTTCACACTGAGTTTTATCCCTGTCTCTGCACTGTTAACAAATGGATGTGGGGGATAGTGTCCTGTGCCAGTGCACTCCTTCTGTGGCTCCTCGTTTTAAGGGAGTAGTTGTAGTCTTTCCAAAGTAAGTACTGACACGTGATCATCAGAAACTTGTGGCTGATGGACATGAATCTCTTCTTTCAAGGGAAAAGAACCTCTCCATGTAAGACATACATGTGTTCTGCAGTGTGCACTGGAGAACCCTTTCCTTAAGATGTCATCTTGCTTCTTCCTACCTCTTCCTCTTTTTTGGCACGGTATTCTAGAGTCTGTGCAACTGAAAAAACAGCAACTGAAATGTGTGACAGGGACATTTTCACCAGGGACATCCTTGAAAAGGACAACAGGCACTTTCCCTCCCCAGTCTGCACTACATTATTATTCTTGGTTGGATCCTGCATGCCTGAGAACTCACTTCCCTCACCAGACCATACAATTCCCTGCCCTATACACAGACACTTAACTACAGTTCTGCAGAACTAGGCCAGGAGTTGCATTTGCACTGTGAAGTTGCATGATTTTGTGGACTTGGGTGAGTATGGAGCAGCTCTCCATTATAGTCACTGCAGACACAAAGCAGAAACAGCTGCTTTACTTCACTTCAGCTCTGATACAAATAACACCTGTGCAGATGGTAGGGGCACAGGAAGCCACAGCCAGAGCAAGTAGAGCTCCACTGAGCCTCAGCCTCCCTGTTCCCATCTAGAGGGTAACAGAGGCAGAATGGGATCCATGCCAAACCCCAAAGTGCTGCTCCAGCCTGTGATCCCAAAGACTGGAGGGCAGCATGCAGAGGTGGTTTCTTACATGACTAGCATGTAAATCACCTTGAATTTTACTCTGGATTCTGTTTACATCAACCCTGAAGCACTAAGAACAACACACAGAATATCCAAATAACTCCAAGCCACTGCAGTGTGAGAAATGTGGGCCCAGCTATCACAGACATTGAGCAGCAGCCCAAGGCACAAAACGATCACAATACCTGTGCCCCCTTTAGACCTGGTGCCTGTGGCCTCTGCTCCCCACAGGCCTTGCCCACCTCTCCAGCCAGCGGGCTCTCAGTCACACCTAATGCTCTCCCAGCTGCAGGAACCTCTGGCACTGAGCCAGCCAGTGACACCTGATAAAGACAGAGATGAATTATCAGCCACGTGTTGAACATGCTCCACCCAGCCCACGGCTCCTTGCAGAGCCCAGTGAGCAGCCAGTTACACCAACACAGCCACAGGGTGTATCTCTGTAGCATCAGCACTGAGAGCAGCAAATTACAGCAGATGTCAAAAGCTGTACAGAGCCTGAGCTAAGAAAACTGCACTGAGAACACATAGTCACTGAAGAAAACTGATGCCATCTGCATGCTCTGACCACTGAAATTTAAGTCACAGCAGTGTAGATGTGTCAACTTTCAAGGTTTTTATAAATGCACATTTACATTTTAAACGTGTAAGTGATGGCGTAGGTTTTTTTGGTTTTTTTTAATGCAGTCCAGTGGGGACAAAAAGTGTTAGGGGAATAGGGAAATAGTCCTTAAGCAAAGACTTGAGTTGCCATGTGATTGTACATACTTGAAATGAACAAATGGCAAAGCAGTCTGTTCTTCCAGTACTCTTCACGTGAGGTTTGAAATAGTGGAAAACTTAAATTTCATCTATCTCTGCTTTCCCAAACCCCAGAATATATTCAGGGCCCTCTTTTGGAAGTGCATAAAATGCAGATGCCATTGTGGCCTGTCTTCTCAACAGAAAAAGAAAAAATGTTTCTGCAAGGCAAGTTATGACTAATAGTGAGACACAGTCTTCAACTTCTGCTATTTTGGGCAAGCCACCCACATCCCTCTACTGCCCCCTCAGCTGTTAAACTATGTATGGTGGTGAGGTCTGCAGATGAAAGCCACCTCTCCAAGCAGGATGGATCCTAGCTGAGACCTGGATGTCACTTCCAGCAGTACTGAAGAAGCATCAATTCAGATAATAATAATGGCACAGATTTTTGATGTTAGCTAATGTAGTCCTCTGCAGCCTTCCTGGGTTACATCCATTCCTTGCCCACAGAAACCTCTTCCTCTGCAAACTCAAGTATATCTAAAAATTAACACTACATTGCTGGGAGTCTGTAGGGGTATTAGGTTTACAGTTGGACTCAATGATCTTGGCAGGTATTTTCCAACTTGAATTATTTTGTTACACATCTGTAGAGAAACAGGCAGTGATGGCAAGCTAGCACAGCTCTTTTCAGTTTGCTATGGAGGTCACATATGGTTCTGGAGACCCAGCTGTTCTGCAAGTCTCTCTCAGTGGTCTGATCTCAGCTGAGCTGAAATGAGCTGATGCCAGAGCAAGCTCTGTGGTGTGATTAATCGCTAATGTAGATGCCACTGTGATCCTGTCTTCTCAACAGAAAAAGCAAAGAGCTGAGCAGTTACCACATAAAAGAGTGACACTGAGAGTAAGGACCAGAACTAGTACTACTCTTCTTTCTGAGTGCCCCAAGCACCAATCCCCTGAGTCCCACTCTCCTTCTCCAGAAATCTCCCATTTCTGCTACGTAACAGAAGGGAAATAAGGAGCAGCCAATGCCCAGCAGTGTCTCCAGCCTCATGGACAGGAACCCTGCAGGGATGAGGATCTCTGCTAGCAGAGAAGTGCTCTAGTAGTATTTTCTGTGCAGGTCTGGTCATCCAACTACCTTCCACAAACAAGAGTCCCCAACTTCTCTTTCATGAAAGCTGAGTATTTACCCTTTTATTTTCCTGTTAGCTTGTGCCTAGCCTACGAAGAAATGATCTCTCCCATGCCTACTTAAGAATGCATTCAGAGGAGGATCAGCAATCAAACCAGTGTCACCACATAAAGGCTGGACCAGATGTGCAGTAAAACCAACTGAGCGTGGAGTGAGTTTGGAGCAAGTTTCTGACCTAAAACTTGCTCAATGTTCCACATTGCAGCAGGCCCTGCAAACTTCTTCCCAGAGTGCTGTACAATGTGACATGGCTGCAAAATCTGGTATGGCTGCAAAGAAATGGTCTGCACTTGAAAAAGGGCTACCAGAAACTGTTACATGAAGTTTGAGCAATTTTAGTACTTTTTTAAACCACAGAACAAAAACATTTGAAACAAGGCACTCCTTTGAACACCGAGTTCAGACAATCCCACAGAAATCTCCTTTTGTATCACTATTAAGTGAGAGGGTAAGGGGAGGAAATCCTGCTCCTCCTCACTGCATTTCAAGAAACAATGGGCACAGACATTTGCTTCCTTCTACAGATCCACAGTCAATTAATTATATAGATAAGCTTACTATAAATAAAAAGATTTTCTAGCAATTCCTTTAGGCTTCTGTGGTAATGGTTAGTCACCTATAGCAGTGACAGGCTAGATATAAGTTGCAACATAAACCCAACGTGAATTACTATGTTGAAATATTTTAATTCTAAATGTGAGATCTGAGAATATTTTTTCGCATACACATAAAGGCACAAAGCAACATGCATACACCTGAACAAAGATGCCAGAGAGGGTGACAGCTTGGAGTTACCATCTTGGAATAAAAAATACATGAGTACATATATATATATAGCAATAAACAGAAATGCAGGTATCTTTTACAGAAGTGTATATATACACACACACACACATTCTGCACGGTTGTACATACATTCTGTAAGTACGGTCATTGTGGTATGTGATAAGTTATCACGAACTTTGAGAACACATCAATTCTTCTACCCATCTTCATTTGTAGCATTCATTTTCTTCATTGTGTCCACAGGTTTTGATGTCACACCTTCCCCCATATTCTATTACCTCTTCTCATCTCCAAGCCCTCCCCAAAGGCTGAATTTAGAATTATGATAAATTAATCTTTAAATGCAGCTGAAAAGTCAGTAGAGGATGAATTTGGTATCCCCTTAACTTACATGTGTTATAAAAAAGTGATCTGGGTAGGATCACTGGGTCAGTAATAAAAACCTGCAGGTACTCAGGAGTAAAACACAGTTCTGAAAAAGGTCCGTTCATTTCCTGCCTTCCTATTTATGGACTATGTAGACTGTTAAAAAACAGTCTACACTGATCCCTGCAACAAAGGATTGATCCCTGCAACAAGGGGGATTGAGATACAATTTCAGTTCTTTGTGTGGTCAGTCTATTAGAGTCAGTTTTTAAAAGGAAAAACCCAGAAAATATGATTTATCTCCACAGCATCATAGCCTAAAGAAAAAGATTTTAATGTCATAGAGCTGAGTCAGCACTGGAGTGTGGCTGAAGAGAGAAACCCTATGGAAGGAACCAAGAGCTTACCATCAGGACAATGCATGAATCTGCTCTGGATCAGGTCACACCCCTGTGCCTCCTCCACCTAACTCATCCAGTACAGCAGCTGAATCTTAAGAAGGAAAGGTTGATGTATAACATGCTGGTTATTACAATGCTCAATCACAAGAGCTGCTAGGGGTCATGAACTTCATACCATCCTAGCACCAAAGGAAACTGCTCCAAATTGTGACTATTTCAGGCCTTCTTACTTAGAAATAAAAGCTCAACATGCTGCTTTATTTTACCAACGTGCTTCATGTATCTGTGCTGATTGACATAATTCCTATTTCCTGCATCCTCTTTTCAAAAGATTTTAAACCGCACAGGGAAGCCAGAATCTGTTCTTATGTATTGTAAGTCATCATATTTAACCCCTGAGCCCAATTCCTCTTCGGGTGTCCTGATCAATTAGGACATCAATCTTGATGTGAACGAACCAGAGATCCATTTTCATGCTTGTGACATTCTCACTGCTAAAAGTTGATGCCTCCCATCCACTCAGCTTCCTGATTTCAAGAAATTGAGCTTTATGTGCCAAAAACTGGAGATTATTAAAACTTTCTCCATTACATCGGAAGCACTTCAGTATCAAGTACTCTGCTCCTGTTATTTATTTGCCATAGCATGATCACCATGGTGTTCCCTCTGTCCTTTCACAGGTAAACTTGACAACTTTCAGAGCTGTACAATACTCATACTGCACTACAGTCCACCAAGGGAACAGATAATCCAGCTGAGGAGGAGACAGCTGTACCACCCCTCAGTGGGATAAAGATCCTCTCATCATTGAGCAACTGACCTGGGAGTTGCTCAACACAGATTCTCAGGACTCCTAACTGCAGCACCAAACATCACCATTACCATTTGGACAGCATTTTACCTTTTTTGTTACCAGTCCTTAATAAACAAAAATGTTCTGTTCTACAATACCATTTCCCAGTCCAACCCAGTCTCACCAATCAGACCTCTAGTCTCCAAGCCATGAGCAATAATTCACTAAGGAACTCACAGTTAATATATTAAAACAAACAAACGAAAAATCAGAAGAGGCTGGCAAGGAAACAGAGTGCCAGAAAATACCATCTAGTCACCTCACTTCATTGCAAAAATCAGTCTCCTCTCAAGGGAACATGAAACCATCCAAAAAGAAGCTGCAATAACCTTGTAAAATCCCCAGTGATGGGAAACACCTGCTTTCCACTGTGCACACACTGGTAACTTCTGAGCCTCTGCTGCTACTTAGATGCATACATCCTTGTTCAAAAAAGAATTATGACCCTTAACATAATTTACACAAGAATGTAGGTCAAATTGCTTCACCCGTGTATATCTACTTATTGCACACCTTTTTCTGACAGAACTTCTATCCCTTATCAGGGAAACACAAAGGAGAGCTGCTAAGAGAAAGGCAGCAGATGGTGACAGGACAGAAAAGGTTATAAAGTGATCTCTCAAAGCAGACAGTCTATCCAAAGCCTAAGACTGCATATTTTCAGTCTCTTTTCCTAGCATTGGCATGTAAAAGATTTCAACAAATTCTAGTAGTAAAGAATTTAAAAAATCCAAATATATGCAAATACATGAAGAGTACTGAAAAGGCAGGTTTTGGTATGGAGTTTGGGTTTGGCTGGTTTGGTTTTGGGCAGTTGTTGGGTTTTTCTTTGAGTATTACAAGCACCTCTGGTGACAGCTTTTGCCAAGACAGCATGCTGCTGCATTGCTGCTGCAGCACCCAGTGCCTGTCAGATTTCTTTCATGACTGCAGTAAAGTGTCGCTTTCCATCTAAATACAACATGGACTCTGAAATGGAGAAAAGAGAGAACCACATTAGTACCTTAGTATCAATACTGGGCAACTACAACTAAACAGACTGGCAAAAGTAAGAAGTAATCTACATTGTCATCAAAGCATAAAATCTATGTGGTTTGCCATGAAATCCTGTTATTATTTAAATGACAATAGTTCATCTATTAAAATGACCAGTGTTCCAAGAAAAAGAAATTAATTTTTTTTACAGAGTTATGATGACAACATATTAATGGGATACTTGCCTCCATATGTCTTAGGTACAACTTGTGGGACCTCATTTTCTGATATAAATGTAAAATGGAAAGTGTTGGTAGTATGGTGCTCCCTGGTATTTGCATTGTAAACTTCACTGTGTACTCGAATCTGGATGTAGTTTTTTTCTGTGTAACAGACCTACACAGTTAAAACAAGAGTTAGAGCTTGTAGTTTATCACCAGTTCTGAAATCTGTCACAGATTTAATTACACCATTTAACAAGAAAAGTCACACACTCTCATAACATATTGTTAATTATCAGTGACTAACACTGGGGCAGTAAAGACAAGGTCTGCTCCTTTTCAAAAGGAAATCAATTCCTACCTGTCCAGAAAGCAGTAGTAAGGATCCAACTTCAACTGGCTTCTGAAACATGATATCATCAACAGATACAATAAAGGGTCTGGAACCCCTAAGGAAGCAAAAGAGAAATTTCTTCTCAAAAATAAAAAGGATGTTTGCAGAAATTTAAAATATCCACTTGTCAGTATTTTAATGAAGGGTTACTAGAGAATAAATCTCTTCCTTAAACAGACGCTACAGGAACTATTAATTAATTATGTCATCACTGGAGGAAATCTCTCACACCAATGAAGTACACACTTTCTAAGAATACATTATTGCACCATTATTGTATCTTATGACTTACACTTGCTAGACTATCTTCAGGCCATCAGTGCTCAGGCCTCAGTTTTTCAAGCACCGACACAAACCACTTAGCTTTAACTTTATATCAGGCTTTGCATATCCCATTAAACTTACACATAGACCTTTGCTGGGTAATGACTTCAGTCACACTTCCTAACCTCACACAGTTAAGAGAAGTTTAGAACCTATTCCTCTTGTGTAGTAAATGCAAAGATGTAATATTTATTTGATAGAATGAATATGCTATATGGTTAAAAAGTCCATCTCAATAGCTTGGTAAGATAAAACAAAACAGAAAATGGGTGCATTTTCTATCTTGAAAAGTGATAAAACCCAAGCTCCAAGGAGCAAGATGCCAATCTCTTTATAAATATGATTGATGCTCCAAGTAAAGCAGCACTGTGCACTAACAGTGCATGATTCTACCAGACCCCTAAGTGTTTTCAGCTCAGATTGTCATTAGGTTGGTTAGCTTTGGTTCCCAACCTCTGTGTATCAGAAAAATGCTCTGGATTATACAAATATTGCAGATCCACAACTCACCCATAGCTGCAAGCAGTTGCCCATCCTAGTTCAAATGCCTTTCTCATGAGAAAACCCCCAAAGATCCTATTAAAGATGTTCCGTTCCTGTACAAAGAAGCAAATACCAAATTATTTTCACAGCCTTGTATTGAAGTCTGCAGTTCAGTTCACAGTATTTACCAGAAGTCCCAACATATGAATATATAAAAAGCACTACTGAAATATGTATGTAAAATTCAAAATGCCCAAGGCAATTTTACTTAATAGGAGCTCATCTGACTAATTTGACAGCATAAGATAACTCAAAACTGTATCAGCAAGCAAAGGCCAAAATTTTTGCAAACACTTTGCAAAGGAATTTCTTTACACAGAATGAATAGTCTGGTAAGAAAACAAGGTCACTAAAAATCATCCATTTTGCAGTGGTCATCCATACAAATAACAAAAAACTAGCAAAAGAAAGTAGGCTCTAAATTGAAAGGACTGCAGAAGCCAAACAAAATAATGGTTTGACTAATCTTAGACAAAAATTCATAGTCATAGAATGGCTTGGGTTAAAAGGGATCTTAAAGACATCTGGTTCCAACCTCCCTGCCATGAGCAGGGACACCTTGCACTAGACCAGGTTGCTCAGAGCCCCAAGCCATCTGGCTCTGAAGGTTTCCAGGGATGGGGTATCCACAAATTTTCTGGGCAATCTGTTCCAGAGCCTTACCACAATCCCAGTAAAATAGTTTTTCCTAATACCTATTCTAAACCTCTCCTCTTTCAGTTTAAAGCCATTACCCCTTGTCCTGTCACTATGTGTCCCTGTAAAAATTTCCTCTCAAAGTCACTTGTTAAGTAACTTTCTGTAATTCATGAATATGTTTCAAAATACCTCAGGATGGCAAATCTCCAGGCCTTTTAGCTTTGCATCTTCCATCCACACTGAATTGGGTGGCAATTTACGACTCCGGAAACTCACTGTCCTTTGGAGAAGACAATAAACTTTATAGTCCACAGAATTAGCAGAATTCAGCAAGCCAAAAAAAGCATAAATAGCAAATGCAGACATATACTAAAAAAACCCACATAGAACACCAAAATAAACCCAAAACAGAAATGGTATCACTAAACACTGTTCCAGCTGACCTTGAAGCCTTATCTAAAACTGTCCTTTGATTTGTTACTGCAATAAACCTATGCTCCTGATCTTTCAAAAGCTTCTGCTAATGTTCAAGTTCATGTGAATGAAGAGGCTTGAGAAAGGTACATGAAAGAGAAGATGAACCACAACCACAAAGTGCACACTTTGTCAGAACAGCCTTGCCCTGTTTTTTAAGTCATAATAGGAAATAAAAACACAAAGTGAGGTAATAGAATAATTCAACATCAAACATGCAGACAGTTTTTCAAGTTTTCAAACCCAGACAGAATGTGTACAAAGTACAACTGCTAATTTTAAGGGAAAGCAGGTCTGCCTTTGGTAAACAGCTTTAAAAGTAACAATTGTATAGGCTAATAAGTTAAAGAAATTATAAATCAGCATAAATACAACACTGCACTAATGTAATTATACCTTGTTCTATCACTGTTGGCCTCAGATGACTTCACACCAGTCTCGAGTATAAGAGAAGAATGCTAACAACTCCCTCAAATAATGTTGTCAGGTATTGTATTTAAAACACATTGCAAGGTTATTTGGTTAAAAGGTGGCCAGTTCCTGCCCTCACAGTTTTTTTAATTAGATACCATGAAAGAAAACTGATTGTGCAAGTCATGACTGCAAAACCATTCCATTCTCTTATCTGGTTGAACATCATTAACCCTTTTCCTCAAAATTATTCCTAAGCAGCTTGTTTAGAACAACAGAAGACTGTTCTAAGAGCTGCAGCTGTCATAATAAAGTTTGTACCTGCATGTCAAATAAACTGCCACAGAATTTAAATGTGCATTTATTCCAGACTACCCTGTTACAAGCAGCCACTCAAAAGGCACTTTTCTCTTTCACAAGACGTAAGTTCTCCTTCACCCTTCCCCTTCTTGCCTTGTGTCCAGTGTATTAAGGAATATGTCATGCACAATGTTTCTTTCTTCTGCAGTGGGAGCCATTTTCAGTAAGGAAGCAGTGCTGAATTCAATCCTCTTCAACTTGTTCACTGAATATTAAAAACAAAACAGAACAAAACAAAACACAGTATTAAAGTTCAAAGAAAGATCAAATAATGGCTCTGAAGATTTTAACCTGAAATCAACTGTCTTTCCAGTTTTTCTTTTCCCTCATAAGTTAAAAGCTGTAACTTCATGGTCCTACAGATCCAAAGAGAAATTTGGCTTTTCTAATTGACTGCAGTGAAATAAAAATAAAGCAGAAGTTCACCAGTAGCTCACTAATATGAAGAACTTCTACACATATTTTATGACGCCCACATGCTGTTCCTACAGAAAACTTGAGTACTGCCCTCAAAGTACAGAACATATCTAACAGGAAACCCTACAGAGCAGTCAGCTCCAGGTTTGCCAATAGTACAAGAATGGAAGTTTATGACAGAACTCATTACCATAGGCTGCAGTGACTGAAATTATAGCTTAAAAAATCTTCTGTCCAGTTTATTCAGTCTTCAGTGTTTTTCTAATTCTTCACTTTAAAACTCCAGCTTGAAATAAATGAGGATGGAGCTACATGCTCTCCCCTGCTTTCCTCCTTTCCTTTTCCTGAGTTTCTTTCCAAAAGGAACATGGGCACACAGGCAGATGAGGAGCTGAGATGTCCTGCAGGCCCACCATGGGATAATCAATTGGCCAGAATATTTAGGAGCCCCTGTGCTGCGCTCAGATCCAAAGCAGAGGGAGCATCCTGACAAGGGAGAAGTCCAGAAGGTGTGCAGACATCAGGAGTGTCTGTCAGTTTAGCCAGAGTTTCCAAGCATGTGGTAGCAGGCTTTTAAATCCTCTTACTCTATTGACATAAATGAGACAGAACAAAAATCTGATTTTACACAAATTAGGAGCATTTCTAAGTAGCAGCACTCCTGAACTTTGCTTCCTCCCAGCTATTAAGTTGAAACTGAGGCAGATGTGCATACTACCAGGAAATATGACATACATTCCCCTTGCTTGAAGATTTCTTCCTCCTCAGGGCTCTCAGGAATGAGTGGATTAACAAATGCTGGCCTATGGACAGAAGTTTTTTTAAGTTACAAACTTTACAAGAATTTGTCCAGTAAATACATTATAACAGTCTTCCACTTTTGCTTACATACGTAGTACAAGATGAAATTACATACTTCAGGTTATATGATAGAAATAAATATGGCTGCCAACAGAATATCACATCAGCTTTAACTCTGAAGAGGCATCTAATTGATCCAACCACTACCTAGTGCAATCAGGAACGAGAAAATGTCACATTTATGGTTCTTAAGAAGCTAAAATTGTACTCAAATTATAATGAAGATTGTTCAAGAAGAAAGCTGTTCAGAAACTCAGCAAGTGAAAACATGATGATACAGGGCAGCCTAAACCAAAACTTGACTGGTACCATTCCTCCTAGAACAGAAGAAGCATGGTGCCATAGCTAGCAATTGGTTTTATAATCTACATGTTCCCTTGACAGCCTTATCAACAGCCAAAAACTGTTTACCATGTGTACCACTTATCAAAGATAAGCTGCCTTGAGCACAACATTTCTATGTTTATTTTACTGCACAAATAAGTTTACTTTAACCTAATTATATAACATTTAATTACTTCATTATTTGCACAAGTAAAGACAAACACTTATTTTCAAGACTTGCTCTTCCCCATAGTTTCTATCTATTATTTTTCAACTTTCAACATTTACACAAATGCTGAGAACAACATATACATACATACATGCACACACACACAGACCTGCTGAACAATTCACCTCTACCCTAAGCCTTTACTTGGGCTGGCAACAAGAGGCAGAGAGGAGCTTTTCTCTCAGAACAAACTGATCTTTCCTGGTTTGCTAAACCTCTGGATTTTGGAAATCCACCAGCTTCTTCTCCATCACAGAGCTCATTTCCTCTCAGCTCAGCACACATCTACATCAGCTCTCCTGGCCAAGCCCTAAGGTGCTGAGATGCAAGTTTGCTATGGTCCCAAAGCCACACAACCCTGTTCCTGTGGTGCTACAGCCACCCTAACATATCCTGTATCTCTCTGAATGGTTTTGGCCTCACATAAATACCCTCCTTATATGGACAGAATACTTCCAAAACACGGTTGGCCTGTGGCCAGCTAGCTTGTACAAGAGCCACTGAAGTTTGCATCTATCTGCACAAGTCCATGTAGGCTCGTCCTCAGTCAATCTGCTACTGTATAATTACATAAGATTTGATGTCATTGTTTTGAAAAATTAGTCTTTTAAATGGGAACCATAATATAATTTGTTTTCTTAATGTATAGTATATTCACTGGTTCTAGAAAAAATCTGAAGAAAAAAAATCTAGAAACTACTTCTAATGTTATCAGGACCACATAATTATATCAAGTAAAACCCCTTCATTAAATCCATCTTTGTCAAATACCAGCAATTATTTAAACTAATTAGAAACACAGAAATGTTGATTACTTGTACAGGCTATATAGGAAAGAGGCAAGAATTACAGCCAATTTTTCTGATGCTGGAGTCATAAATCTAAATGGCAACTGAGCAGCCTTTTATTCTAATAACTAAAGAATTATAGAGAAAGTAAAACCAGAAAAATAACCAAGTAAGTGTCTGGGAGGTTTTTAAGTTCTATGGGAATACTTATCAGTTCCATCTTAGTTACACAAGCAAGTTCTAACATGAATTATTCTGATGATACCTATTAAGTGTCTGTTAGGGAATCAATGGTATTATTCACGCAAACATTATTTAACCACTGAAACTCAATCATTAATTCAAACAACTAGCACAATGCAGGTGGGTTTTTGGCAGACTCATTCACTTCTGTCTTCATTCAGACCAGTCACTCACACACAGAGAAATATATATTTTTAAAGAAGAGTCAGATCCCAAGACTACCAGAAATTTCTAGTATCATGAAGTTTATCACAGGAAAGTTAACACTTGCCAGCAGAAAGCACCAACCATGTGGTTTAGTTACCACCTAGCTGATGCTACATTATATGGCTTCTACCTATACAGAGCAAGCTGCCATGTTTGCCATTTTCAGCACAGCAGAAGTCAGGAAACTTTTCCTGTCCTACAAATTACCGTTTATTCTCTGGGTCTCGGGCCACCATGACAAAGGTTGCATCTAACACAGGGCTGTAATCACCATCATGTAGCTAAAAGTGACAGGAAAGAAATACATTACTGAACTCCAAAATTGGAAATGTGCTTAGCAAGCTATTTAGTTGGCATAAATTATTCAATCATACTGTTACTTCTGCTTAATTTCACATTCTGTCATTCCTTCCAACCTCTCACATTAGGTCAAAGATAAGGAAATAATTAAAACTTTAATTTCAGGAATTCTGCAGTGTAAATATTTACCAGGGAATAAAACTTTGAGCTGGGAGGGGAGGAAATCAACACAGTCATTGTAAAAAGACCCACTTAACCTTTACTCTAATATATGCCATAGCTTTTTTTTTTCTATCTATCTAAATATATACATACTAAATTGCCACTAATACCAGCACTGTGAGGAGTTCAGAACAAGAAGATATAGCATTCTCTTCTACATCAGAGACTTTATTTAAGGAGAACAATTGAATTTAAAAAAATTCCTGTTTACCTGAATTATCACAGAATCATAGAATCACAGAATGATCTGGGTTAGAACGAACATTAAAGACATCCAGTTCCAATCACCCGTCCATGATCAGGTGGCTCAAAGCCCCATCCAACCCAGCCTTGAACACTTAGAGGGATGGGGCATCTCTGTTTCTCTGGGCAACCTGTTCCAGTACCTCACTATCCTCACAGGAAATAATTTCTTCCCACTATCTCATCTAAACCCATTCTGTCAGTTTGAAGCTATTCCCCCTTGTCCTGTCACTATATGCTCGCATAATTTCCCCCTGAAGCACCTAATGCTTGTCATAAGATGGAGAGAAGTCACAGGAACTAACCTGCAGCATGTGCATCTTCACTTCCATGGAGGTCTTCCCAACCCAGGAAACATTGCCTGTGAATTTGATGTCACAATCTGGATGTATAATCTTCTGGCACAAATCTACAAGACAAACATTAGTGGTTACTGGAGACAGATCACTCTCAACTAGACAGGCCAGATTCTCTAGGACCTTTACGTGATCTGAAAGTGGCAACACACACAAAGACAACTCAGAAAAGACAGTTGTTGCAAGGGACAACACTACTTGTCTGCAGCTTCTGCCTCTGCAAACTTCTGAAAGCAGAACAGGAGTAGGAAGCAGGCACACAGGTGAACAGCAGACCCAAGGGAGGGTTCAGCAGAACAGGGAACACAGGCAAGGTCCAACTCCACCAGAAAAAACACTGTTCAATACAGAAGCTAATAATCTGCATGCCAAAATAAAACTAAACACAAAAGTGCGGGAACCATGGAAGTTGCATTTTGAAGGGAAATGCTGAAAAGCATCTACAAAACCCTCTTCCCACCTCTTGTCAATAAAAGCCTTCAAAGCTAAAAGAAGATGAAGTGAACTAAACAGGAGTGAGAAAGGTATCCTCAATAACAACCATGGGAAGACAGTAGCTGATGAAAGAGTAAGACAAGCAGATGAAATTATTTTATTTACTAAATTTCCACTTACTGATTTTATCCACCAGAGCTGTAACTATGGATAAAGGAGACCTTTGCTGCATTTCCTGCTTGGTGTGAGTGTAGCAAATAAGAACTGTGAAGAGATCAAAAATGGAGCCAGCTCTTTAACAAAAACATAAGTGGAGCTGATCAAAGTCGTCTTTCAAGGTGTAACAGGTATCTGGAAAACACAAACTAAAGTACCCTACTATAGGAGAGCACAGCTTCCACATCTTTATGTATGTAACACATGGGACTGCTACAAAGAAACAGCAGCTGTCTCAGTTTTATGGGTATTTACTTACTACAAAGATAAATTTAACTAAGCATTTTAAACCAGCTCATCACTTGACTTCCAATCCCACAGTCTCTTCGCTCTACCTCTGCAGCTTCCTGTCTCAGACTTTTCCTATCTTTTATTTTGATTTCATGAAGGCTGTCCAAGGATACATGCTATCTGAGGACTTTTTAAATACTGATTCCTTTAAAGAGGTGGAGATTAAATAAACTGTGCCTTACAGGCACGAAACCATAGTCAGAGGTATTTATCACACTGCAATTACTACTAGCCAAACCACTATTTAAACTAATTAGCTTTGTTCATAAGAGCACACCCAAGTAAACAGACTCCTTAGAGTAATTCAAGGCTGCAAAGATATGGTTTTTTCTAGTGTTCATGTAATTTTCATTCAACACAGATCTCTATTATCAAAAATATCTGTCTTGTACTTAATAAGAGAGAAGGAATCCCCACATGGACCATTCACTTCAGAGCTGGATTTGATGATCCTTGTGGGGCCCTTCCAAAGGGGCTGTGATTTGTGATATGGAGGATCTCTATCCTTCCAAGTAATCTAAGATGTTTTTTCCCTATGTTTACTGGAGTTACAATTCTAAAACCTCTTAAGCCTATCAACTTAGTATATCAATATGATCACCCTGAGTGTTGTTTAATTGGGACAGAATCTTGATTAACCCAAAACAATTCATCGCCAGTAGAACTGATTGGAGCCCAGTATGACTGCAGACAAGGCAAAGACATTCTGTGCTGTGACAGGAAAAAAATTAGATCTTCACAGATTTCTGGGGAAATTAAACAAGGCACAGAATTAAAAACAGGCTCATCTCATCTAACAATGCAGGGTAGCCAAGAGTTTGAAGTCTCCTTTCTTAATTCAGGACAGACATTGAAACGAGTATCTTCTACCTCCCAGGAAGAACTATCAGTCATGCAGCTATTTCATCTATCCTCAACAGACATGCATTCATTTCTTTCTCTGCCTTCCTCAATTTTGTACATCTGGACTCTCAGAAGGAACAGAAAAAAAGATGTTCTATTCACAAATTTCCTTTAATTAATTCTTTGTCAAAAACCTCTCTCAAAAAGCTCCCAACCAGCTACGGAACACGGATGAAGGAGGAAGTCACCTAGTGATGTTTTAAAAAAAGTATTTCTCAGTTTTATTAACAACCTTACACTTACAATACAAAAGGAAAAGATTGCGAACTTTTCAAGACCATAAATTAATAAAAAGGAGAAAAAATTAAGAAAGATAACCCATGAAACATTTGAGTTGGTTTTACCCTTAACAACAATTTGCAGAATCCAAAACCTATTTTTTAAAATTTGTTCTCAATGGATACATTACATTCTTTCCATACAACGCTCTCTTCTCCCCAAAGGGAAGATTAAAATAATTGCATCTCATTAACTGTTGATGTTTGTGGCAGTTTTTGTTGAGGCTTTTTTTTAAGATTAAAAAAAATCATAAGTTTTCATTTTCAATATGCACTCCGCAAATTTTCTCTGAGTTCACACCCAATGCAAATTCATAATCTAGGATCACTTTTCAGTAAATTATTTTTGTAGCTGGTCCTTTAAAAATCTGACAGGCAGGAAGCCAAACAGTTTTGCTTCCATCTGTTCTTTATCATCTGTCCTTCTCTTCCAGTACCAGTGTCTTCTTGTTTTCCTTCCCTTCTGAGGTGGCAGAATTATGGGTTTTCCCTCCAAGACCATACTGTGTCACACTACCCAAAGCTCAGAAGTAATCTAACTCACTTTGTGCAGTCTTTACAAGGGCACAGGTACATACCTCCTAAACTGTCAAGATCTTCAAGTATCCTTCCAAACCTGCAATATAGGGGTTTGACAATTAAATACTTACATAAGTGGCAAAAAGAAGTTAAGAGTTTCCTGTAGGTGTAACATGGTTGCTTTGTTACCTCACACTGTTGTGTACATTCAGGTACTTTTCTCTTATTTCAGGCTGACTTCCTAGAGGTAGAATAACTTCCAAGTAGCTATCCTTCATTCTCCTAGGAGGGAGATCTTCCTGTCGTTTTGCCAGTAAAGTATGAAGAGCTTTTCTTTCTTGCATTGCTTGCACATGATCCCTGGTAAGAAAAAAAAAACTTAGTTCTGAAGTACAAGAGAACTGAAACCCTAAGTAAAAGATGTCACATCAACGATTATCAAAGTTAAAACCAAAAAGAAGTAGAAATAGCAAGACACAGTGAACGTGCCTTGAAATGAAATTGAAATGCACAAAATGAGAGATGCTAAGCAAGACTACTGATGAAATCTTTGAAATAGTTTGTGTACAAGTGGCAAGCACATACTTCACACTAGTGAGATGAACAAAATGCATCTAATTCTGAATGCTACCAAAATCATTCCCCTCAAAAAGAACGAATCACACATAATTTAATTTATGAGGTTTTGTGCATATTCATGTCTTTCAGAGCTACAGGACCACAGATCTTCCCACACCGCCAATTTTAAAGGACTGACCATCAATTTACAATCTCTCCCAAGAAGTGAAGTAGATGTACGTGTTGGCTAGCACTAACGACAAGAGAACTAATCTGCTAAGACTTGCCATCATGCATAGGTGAGTTCCCCCTTTGCAGCATCAGTTCTAATAGCAAGCTAAAAGACAAATAAAACTAACCTACTTCTCTTTCTCTCTTCCTACCCAGACATCTTAAAATTATACAGGAAAGTTACAGAAAGAAACAACACAGAAAAGGGAGAAAAATTCCTTCAGAGTTGCTTTTCCAGCACCACCAAGTCAGAGGGGCTGCAACTCTCACAATGGAGAAGGACGCAACTTACTGTCACTTCTTCCCAATCTACCAAGTTGATTCTTTGCACAGGTATCTACAAGATGTAACAATCTTGCCCAACACACTCTTACCTGTTCCAAAGTTCCCTCCCCTTATAAGTGCAACCTGACTGAATAAAGCAAGTGTTTCATAACTTCCCTAGAATCAATACCCATCTATTAAAAATCTAAGGTTAAACATGCAACAGTTCTGGTATAAAGCCAAGGCCAAGAAGAAAACAGAATCCAAAAATACAGATCCATTTCATAGAGCAAGAGAATGCATAAAACACTAAGCAACAAAACTTAATGGTATATTTCTGGATGCATGCCATTCCTTCAAGTTGTGCCTGCTGCTGTGCTTGCTGAGATTTCAGTGACACTGTGTTTAACAAAATCAATTAAAAAAAAAGAAATAAAGACAACAACAGAAAGCCTTTTCACCAAAAAGGAATTTTGTCTTAAATTTTGACTTTGGATGAAATCTGGGTATTACCCACTTAATACGAATGCTTATTTGGCTTGAGTATTATTTTAGAAAGTCTAGCTTCAACATATTTATATTCCCCCTTTTCTGTTTAATAAGTTCCAGAGAAATACAAATAATCCATGATCAAAGAGAGTGAAAGTCAAGCCAAAAACTTCAGTTAGTTTCATTTGTTTGTTTGTTTTAAACATGAGATGTGGTTTACCTCATCTGGGCAACATGATTACCATGGAGTTCAGAGGAAACAGAAAGATAACAACCTCCTGCAGAGGGTTAATGTTTAAAGTTATGCCACTGCATAGCAATGGAATATTACTGGATAACTAAAGAAAGATGCAAGGTCCAAGATGATGCATCTTCATGCTTTCTAAAAAGTTTTTTCCAAGGTCTTTCAGTGAAAGGCTTAAAAGAAATTAATCAGAAACTAAATCAGAAATTTGTCTACAAACATAAAGAAACCTAAAAATAAAAATGTAACTATATTCTGTTTTCACCAGCTCCATCCTGGCTCCTCTGAGGTCAGCAGCAGAATTCTTCTTGACTTCCACGTCAGAATGTGCTCTTCAATATTCAGAAGAATTAGGCTCAATGCAGTAACATTTTTCAACAGACAAATACTCTTACACACTGCAGCACTAGTCCTACAGTAACAACAATTCATCTAAATATTAACTATCATCTGCCCTAAACATTCTGAGGAATATTTATATATTTCTGAAATGGTCACAACTCCATCTAGACTATATCTGAACAGATCAATAGTTTTAACTACAATTTAAGTATAAAACCAGAATAAACACATACACAAGATATTTCTTTTTAGTAACGAATACAAAATGCCACTGGCCTTTACAAGAGAAATCACAAACCAAAGTCTCCTTTTAGCTAAATCAATGGTTAAAGATGTTCCTCCAACATGCATGCCTCCTCTCTCCCAGCATTTCAGATGTGTACATCAGTCCTTCCCTAGCTCCCTTTTCAGGACCCCTATCAAGCTGTTCCTCAGATTTGTCCTCTTTAGTTATTCTGTGGCCTAACTCAGTTAAATCCCACATGTATCAACTGTTCAGTCTCCACATGTATCAACTCTTTGTCACTCTATTTTTAAAGTGGGCCCTCAAAGGCTACACAATCCATGTCCACTAAACCTCCTTACATTAAACATGTCACTCTCAAGCACTGCCATCTGTAGTCTCCCTGGCTTTACTTTTTCATGGAAGCTAAAGGATTCATTACTCTGCAAACCATTTCTGCTGTATTTTGTACAGCACGATAGAAGTACCTGCCCAAGAAAAACACTGCTGTGGTGATCCTGGCCTCAGTCTGCCTTCCCTCCAGGATGGGAGCAATGGAGGGAAAAAAATAGATGGAAGATCAGATCTGACCAGAGCCCCCTCTAAAATCTCAAATTTTGAATGGTATTTCCATATGGCATCGTTCCTACTCAGCCATTCTGGAATGGGGAAAGGCTTTTTCATAAACAATTTCTAGAGCCCTTTCTAGCTGACTTGATGAAAAGTTCAGGCTCCCTGATACTGAGATACTACTCTTAACTAGGCAAAAATCAGCTTCCCAGACTCAGGCATTTTTGTTAGAATGCCTAAAGTTGTGTTTAGATAAACTGAGTCAGAAGGCCTGGACACATCAGACACTTCACCCAGGCAAGTCTCTCTTCATTTCCCTATCACTGCATAAAATGGGAGAAAAGAGCTCAGCAAACACAGCCAAAATTAACAAAAAACATGGGACCAACCAAACTGCAATGTGTATTCCTCCAGACTGCTTGCTACATTTACTTTTCCAGACTGTAACAGCAGAGGGTTACAGTCAACTCTGGCTTATTCAATGTAATGAAGGGGGAGGAAAGTAATTTGAATAAAATCAAACCAGCAATTATTTAAAGCATATGTAAATTAATAAAAAATGAAGTTAGAGCAGACAAAGAAAATGCTCAAAATGTTCCTGATTAAGGAGACCCTAATCCCAAAACTGACAATTTTCCAAGGAGACAGGAGTGCCATTCAGAACACAGCCAGCTACACAGTGAACAAGCTCAGCTGGTTCTGCATCCAGTGCAGGATAAATCCACCATGCTGGCAACCCACCTAGAGATAACCCAAGAGGTAACAGCAACACAGCATTGACAGCCAGACTCTACAGCTCATAACTCCCACTGGATTTAAAGCTAGTGGGACAATCTTGTAAGCATCTAGATCAGGTATTTTGTTTCTGCCAGAGAAATCTTTGTGATCCACAAAGTACCAAATCAGAAGCTTTGTTTCAATTACCTTTTAGTGGGATCTTTTTCTTCTTCTGACAGCAAGCTAACTTTTGGCAACTTCCACTACCACAGCCCTGAGCTCCACCTTGGTTTCACAAATCAAGTAAAATACATGTAAATGCACACTGTACCTCCAGTTGGTAGATGCTCCCACTATATCCCTCAATTTGCTCCGCACTGGAAGAAAAAAAAATCAAAGCAAATCAAGCTTAGCTCTGCAAGTGATAAACATGAGGTTGCCTGGTGTTAAAGGCACAATCCTCAACCCAGAACAGGAAAATTAAGCAAATTCATGCAAACAGCAGCCCAGAAACAAAAGGTTGGCCAAATTCACTGCTGCTGTTAGTAGGCATATCACAGTAATGGGTTGAGTAACATGATGCCATAGCCTGTTGCATGTAGTGTTTGTTAGTGCAATCAGTTACCTCCAGTGCTAATTAATAGCTGAAAGACAGCATGGATCAAGATTAGACTGGGGAATTTTGATATGAAAATATTACAGCCTAAACACAAACTATGGAGATAACACAAATCAGAAAGTCGTAAGAGAACTTGAAAGGGAACAGTGCAGCTGGGAAACAGGGAATGAGGAGAACACCAATTAAATTATCCCACCCACGAAGGCAGGCAGTTTCAGCAGACTGGTTCTTGCCAGCAGCGTTCCATCGCCCAAATTTTTAGCAGTCTGAAAGAACACAGTGTTAAGACATTGAAGCCAGGCCTATACAATTTATTCTGGTCCTGTTTGCACTCTCAGAGTTAATAGTAGTTCTGCACAAGTTTTTCCAAAATTTCAAGAATAATCTTCCTAAGCATCTTTTCTGCTCTTTCTCAGATGAAATTATGTGTGCTAAGGTCCCATCAAATTTGCCAAACTACTCCATGGCTGGTGAATATTGGCTATTTGGAAGTATCTGAAAACAAGCAGCAACAATTCCCAAGCTCAGAATAGAAGTTGAGAATTGTACAGAAGGGAATCCTTGTCTATTCACAAAGATTTTTTATACTAGGAGGTTCAAATGTTAGGGACACATCAAGGAAGAGCAAACAAAAAATATTCAGAATTTCATGGTGAAATTGAAAGAGGCTGCTGGTGAGTCACAAGCTAATCCTTTATCAGGCTTGCATTTTTCAAACTAAATGACTAAATGGTCAGAGTATTCACAGAGATCAGCAAGCTGTCCTATAAAACATGGAGCAAGCCTAGCTGAATTCCTAGGATTTAAATCACATTCCACTCTCTCAGTCAGCTCAGCTCTGCCCCCCTCCTCCTCAGTCACTTCAGCTTCTGCCCAAGTCCCCCCACATCACCACTACTGCTATATCCCAAACCTCTCCTTCCCCATTCCTTCCCCTGCAGCACCCTCAGCCCTTGTCCCTACACTCCCAGCCCGTTTCTGCTCTGCGTGCCTCCTAGAGAATCATCAGCCTGAGCCAGAGGCAGGCAAGGGAATGACTGCCAGCCAGCACATGGATCCAGTGACTCACCAACAGCCAGCAAACACCAGGGTCCACGGCTGACCCCAGCACCGGCTCTGGCACCCTAACAAACCTCTGATTTGAAAGCAAATGTTCACAAAATTTGTGGAAATATGTTTCTCTTTGAGACTGGTGGCTCATCTGTTTTGGCTGACATGAACAACATGTCAGAAGAAGAGGAGGAAGAAGAGGAAGGACAAGAAGATAGGCAGACAAAGACAAAATAAATTGCTTAGGCCTTATTTCTTTACAAAATTAGGCTAAGACATGTTTTGAAATTAGAAGACTTCTACTACTAATTCTAAGAACAAAAAAAAATTTCAAGGAAAGAACCTGACTGAAAATCTTGAGAGTTGATTTCTTTCGGAAACAGGGAAGATCTGATTTCCTTTTCCTTAAGCAGCAGCAGGCTTGCTTACAGGATAGGTATTACTTTCTTGTTACTCATACTCCACCTGTGAATCTGCCATAGCATGCATTTGATCAATACAGTGTTAGCAAAAACACTGTTACAGCTTCCAGAACACAAAACCTCAGTTTTTCAACAGTGTGCAGACCGTGCGGGGATGGACAGGGAATAAACAGTGCTTTCTCTTTGTTTAAACCAAATTCCTCTTCCTTTTCAATTCTAAAGAGGTTAAAAGTTTGAAAAAAAAATCTCGGGTCCAAACCTGCAAAAATATATACATTTATATATATAAGCTGTTAGTCTCATTTAATACTGATTTCACTCATTTAAATCTGATTTCACTTTTAGGTATAAAAAAAATATATTTTCCAGGCAGAGAACACATTGAAACTTTTATCTTAACAATAAAAGCGACAAAGTGTAAAGTGTTTCTAAATGTTGTCAAGCCAAATCTAGTCCATGTTATGGCTCGTAAATACATAGTTTTTAACTTTTTCCTTTTTTTCCTCCTGGGAAGACTATCTTGCTCTTCTAGATATTAGAAATTTAAGTAAGGAACAACAGAAACTTAAATAAGAAAATTCAGTACAAAAATCTACAAGGTATTTCTTTTCTTATCTGGCAAATGTCTTAAGTGTGCAAAACAGTTACAGCAAATGGGACTCCTCCATCATGCTCACGTAGCATATTTCACTGTATCTCCTAAATCGTGATCAGTGGGCCATCAATGCCAGAGCAGCAGGGTCTGAGTTTATCAGCACTGCACTGTGGAAAAGGACATGAGGAGGGCACTTAGACAAGATCCCTGCATTCATCTCCACCAGTGAGATCCATGTCCGTCGTGCTGGTGCCTCCCCAGCTGCATCCAGGTTCAGACAGACCATCAGCTTTGCTACGGAGCTTGGTCTGGACTTAGGTGAAGGACAGACTCAAATGTCTAAAATGAAGCCAAGTACTGCAGGAGCTGCTGCCCTGAGAGATTTTGTATCCCACAAGCCTCTTAAAAACGTTTTACCCAGCACTACAGACAGAGTGTGCTGACAGAGATTTAGTGCAACAACATTGACACAATTAAGACCAGGGCCATTCACCAAAGGCAAAGGGGCTTTAAGCAAGGCAACAGAGAAGAATTATGGCACTTCATTTTTCATGAGTGCTAAAGTAAGGAGAAACAGTAGGTGAATAAGTTTAGTGTTATAGCAAATATTTTAATATGTACAAATTACCACAACACACCATTATTCACATGAATGGGTGACTGTCCTGTGGAGTACAAAACACAGGTTAGATTAACAATGAAAATAAACAATGCAATTTACATCTAATAAGGAGATACTTGATTATTCTACCTGCTTCAGTTCCATTTAGACACATGTTCCTTAATTTTAGTAACTGCAGGCAATCTATCCTTGCCTGATTTAGAGTCTTTTTGTTTTCAACTCAGTTCGTCCTTCCCCTTCAGGCCAGCTTTCCAATTCCCTGACCACTGACTCCGTGTGGTATCTGCTTGCAGTGTAACCCCAAACAGTTCCTCAAACTTGGAGCTGCCACGTACTGTTGACAAGAACTGTTAACTTTGGAAAGAGTATCTGCTGAATTTTTCAGGAAGTGGGATTAAAGTTTTTTCAGAGGAAAAGTCCTATTTTGTGTAGCCTTTGGAAGAGCCATGGAAGAAGTCAGGGTAATCACAACAGGAACCCAAAATTGTGAAAAGGAAGCATGTGAAAAACTAGTAAGGGAAAGTATTTGGTGTTCTGTGAAACCATGGATACCAAATTGAAGGTATCGTTTACATAACAGTGAAATAGTTTACGTATCAGCAAAATTTTGAATAATTCTGAAACAGAATCTCAAATGTTTACAGTTATTGTAGTCCATAAAATATTAGTACCCCTTGGAGTACCAAGATGACCTCACAGTTTCACTATTTTTACTGGCCTATATGGCATCATTTTCAAATATTTAAATAAAGAATCAAGGCAAGTTGCAAGTATGCAACATTCTCTATCCTTGATTCTCACCTTATTTCCTGAATTGCCATTTATTAACAACAACAAAAATAAGTTCTCTAACAAGAAATAACCCTCATTTTCTCTTTTACTGGATAACCAGTAACTATTGGTGACTTCTGTTTAGAAAACAAAGAAAAAAATAATATCTCAGAAATAAGCAGAGCACCCTGAAGGAATTATTTGTACCTGGATCCAGCCTTTTCCGCCTGCCCTTTTCTCAGTACAAGGGATTAGAAAGCAAGAAAACCTTTTTAAAAGCTTCTGAAACAGGAGCATTACGGTTTGTAATTAGAACACTGAAACAAGCTTTCAACACAAAGCTCTATTGACAAGAGCAGTTTCACGAGGCAATGCTGCTATCTGATTAAAAGATTTCTACAAATTCCCGAAATTAACAGGATTGACAGATTAAAAGTTCTGTACGGCATTATTTCCACTCAATTCCCCGTTTCTTGGCCATCCTCTCCAGTCTCATTGTACCTATCTGCACTACACTGACTTTCTATCAAGACCCAAGCTGAGCAGCAGTTATCCTGTCAGAAAAGAACCAAGGTCGGCAAAGGCTGAAGAACCACAGGAGCCTCTAAATCTGGAGTTTCAATGATTCTGCATATTTGTGTCATTCACCTCCAAACACACAGTGATTTTCTGCTGCTTCCTAAACACTTGTACCATGAGCTAACAGACAAGCGCCCATTCATTATCCAAACCATATTAATGCATGAAGGGACACCATCTGAAAAAATAAATTCCTTAACATCATTAAATCTTCTGGTGCATAGCTATTTACTCTACCTTTAGACATGTCAGGAAACCCCGGGGAGGCACTGGTCCCAGAAGTGAGTGTCCTAGCCAGAACAGAAGGAAGCTTCCTCATGATGCACAACCTATAGGTAGAGCAGAAGAATTTAGTGTCATTAAAAATAATCCTATGAAAATAATTTAGGATTTAATTTTGGAATTATGCTGGTGACTTCAGAAACATCAGTCCTTATTTTCAGCTTGATTTTTAGAACTAGATACTATCAGCACAACGGTTCCAAGACAGTTGAAATTCCAACTGACCCCTTTCCTTATCCGAAATCAAGAAAGAAGAATGTTTCACTGGCAGTAATTGTAATCTTCACTGACTATTCAGATATCCTGAGACAACCAACTTAGACTCAACACCAGCTTCTCCTCTATAGCATCTTACCACAGATGGGGTCTATGTGCCTCTAGGAAATCATCCACGACCCTAAACATACACTTCTCCTGCACTTGGCTGGTGTGCATAGCAGTGGAAAGAGGAATATCCCACAAAGGATTTCACAAGGTCTCATAAGCAGTCCCATTCAGCTAAGCCAGGTTTTCTCCTCCATGGCTTAGTACTGCAGCAACTCAAGCCTAAAGTGCAGGATATAATCCTCTTAGCCATTAAGCAAGAAGGGACAACCATGAAACCCTTCAGAGAATGTAATCCACCCACAATTCACTAAGTGTTCTACAAGGTACTAGCCAGCACTACTCTTCTAGGCAAGCATAACCATGGTAGCACAAAAACACACAGAGTTTTAAAAACTCGGTAAAACCCCTTGTGATAGTTCATGGCATCATCCTGGCAAGGAATATGGATTGCTGGTCGCTTAATTTTCTTCCTTTGGGACTGGGGTTCCACCTCAAAAAAGGAAAGATTGCAGGTCCTCAGGCACCAACAGGAAAGCAATGCCATTTACACATCTCTCTCCCCTTTATGTATATCTACATATATATATATTATGTACACACAAGCTTTCACTGTCTGCAGATACACAGAGAGGCCTTAAGAGAGTAAAAGGGAACATAAACACACATGGGAAAAAAAAATAAATAAAACTCAGGGGCAGCGGAATCCCATATGCACCAGGAACGACGTGAATGGCGATGGTGAAACGCCTCCGTGACTGCTGCAGCCTCTGGGCTCGGTGTGTCACGGCCAGGCCCGCAAACGCCTTCCCGCGGCAGCCGCACGCCCCGGGCCCGTCACGCCCGGTGCCCGGACCAGGCGCCCCGCCCGAGGCCGAGCTGCCCGGGGCGCCGCTCAAGTTTCGAGGTGCCCCGCCCTGGCCGCGCCCCGAGCCCCCCACGGCGGAGCGCGGCGAAGCCGCGGGGCTAGGGTCGGGACACGGCCTCTCCTGCCCAGGCCCAGGCCCGGGCCCGCCGGGGTCACCGTCTTCCCTCCCGGGCCGGAGGACGCGGGAGCCGCCTTACCGGGTGGGCAGCATGGTGCTCGCCGGGGCTGTCACCGCGGGGCCGCGCCTGCCCTGGCCACACGGTCCTCCCGCACCAGCGACTCGCGGCTCGCCGCGCACACAGCTGGCTCCGGAACGCCAGCAGCTGGGAGCCCTCGCTCTGCCCAGCCCGGAATCCCCAGGCGGCACCGCCCGGCCTTGGCCTTCCCCGTGTCACCGTGGGCGCGCAGCGCGGCCGCTCCCCGGGGCGGAGGTTGGGGCAGGACACCGTTAGTCGTCGGGCGGGCCCGGCAGAGCGGGCGGGCCCTGCCGGGACTTGCTTTTAATAAACATCGTGATTTTTTTCTTGTTAATGCTCCGTTTTTTCAATGTGCCGTGAGGAAGGCGGGCTGGCGGCACTCAGCTGGGCGCTGTGCCAGGAGCCTGAGGCGCGCCCCGAGCCGTCACACGGCTTATGGGGAACACGGCCTCCTGCTCCGGCCCGTCACTTGGGGGCACTGCTAGGGAAGGTAACTGAGAGCCTCGGAATTTTGTAAGAAAAAGAGGTTTCAGATCTTGAAGAGTGACGTTATCACTCTGTACAATTCCCTGAAAAGAGGGTGTCGCCTGGTGGGATCAGCCTCTTCTCCCAGGCAACCAGCGACAGGACGAGAAGACACAGTCTTAAACTGCGTCAGGGGAAATTTAGGTTGGACATTAGGTAGAGCAATTTCTTCACAGAAAAGGTATTTAGACATCGGAATGGACTGCCCAGGGGAGTTTCTGGAGTCACCGTCCCTAGAAGTGTTTAAGGAAAAACTGGATGTGGCACTCGGTGCCCGGGTCTAGTTGACACGCTGGTGTTCTGTCACAGGACTCGATAATCTCGGGTCTTTCCCAACCTAAAATTGATTTTGTGAAAATACATCTATGTTAAATAAGCTGTGTGCTTTGCACAGACAAATAACAAGTTCAATTAATCAGAATGTTTTTTATTTCTGGGAGCTGAAGAAACTTAGAGCAGAGACAACATGGGGCCTGCACCGGGGTGTGTGGCAGAGGGGCAGCCCTGGCTCAGCACCAAGACACCACAGAGCCCATAGGGACCATAATCGTGTGTGCCATAATCGTGTGTGCAGCTCCTGGGGACTGGGATACATACACGTGTCCAGGTGCAGCCCCTGGCTTCCACACCAACCATAATGCTTGTGGTCCTCACTGGCCATTTCAGCTTGCCAGCAAAACAGTATACACAGGAGGTACAGGTTAGCAATGAAGTTGTTAAGCACACCTTGCTGAAGACTTAGCAAAACACCAGCAAGATGGGATGAGGACATGAGAAAACATGTCCTGGCAAACACAAAGTACATTAACCAGAATATTCATTACATGGAAGGGTAAATTAGATGGTGTTTAAAGTCCCTTCCAACTGAAACCATTGTGTGATTCCATGAAAAAAGCTGAGGGCGCTATTGCCAAGCTTCTCACTCATCTGGTCGTGGGGGAAAAAAATGTGGAAACCTGGTAAGTGTGCATGCTGAAAGTTCAAAAATCAAGGTGCCATGTAAAGAATCACCTCTGGGCAGTGCAGAAGACTGTGCCAAAGACAAAACTGTGACTGTGATACATAATAAAAACACCTACTCATTGTGCAAGCCCCTGTTAGTTATAAGGAAAAATTTAGATTTCATAGGTTTCTTTGTAAAGCCTGAGATAGTTCCCCCTGATTTAAGTACACTGCAGGATCAGACTCCTACTGTATCCAGATGCAATACTTCTACTGTATCCAAAACTGACGCCTGGCTGGCTTCTTTCCCAACATGTATTTCTAAAACTTTTAGACCCCAAATCATTTGCAACATTATATAGGTGATTTTTGGATTCAAGCAGATAATTAGTTGTGTCTAAATCCCAAATTCATTAAACTGCATAATTACAAAGACAGATAAGATGTATTAGCATACAGGAAATAGGGTTCTACTGATCTAAAATATGTTTTCAAAGACAATAAAGAAAAATTATGGTCCTTTTATTGCCAGCACATGGAAATTCATGTAGCTTTATCACATGAAACTGTTAATTTTGCATTTTCCCTGAATTTTGAGCATTGCTCATGCAGTATTTATTATTTGTCCTATTCTGAGAGATTAATATTTTTCTATGTACAGCCTAGTGTTGATAAATTGTAATTTAAGTAGCTTAAATAAAACATCAGAAGCAACTGTGAACTCATAAATACCAATGCAAGGTCTAAGGATTAGGAAGAAAATATCCAGTTGAAAATTATAAGAGATATCCAAATATATCCAGAATCATGAAAAAATATCCAAAATCATGAAAAAATACAGGTCATTACTGAATATTTAACTGCCTTTCCTGTGTTTCACTCCAGAGATTTGACATATAACTAATAAGGACATATAACTTGGATTGAAATACTTGGAAATATTTTTTAGCACAATCAAAAATCATTAACTCACTATATTTTAATGTGGAATAAAGAGGTTTCCTCCTTCTCCTTTCCTTTCTCTTTCTCCTCTTACTTATTACAAACAGAGAACCTCTGAGGCATGAGAGAGGCATTCATACAGGAATGCAAAGAATCTTCCTAGCGAAGAAGGAAATCAAAAATTAAAACAGGGGAAGAGAGTTTGATTAGCTGAACAGTAAAGAAAGAAAGCCCACTTTGAGCTTTTCTGCCCATTCTCCAAGGAAAGAGAACATTAGAAAATTTAGATGCAAATGAAAACATGGTTTTGATACAAGTGCAGATGGGGTCCCATAACTCTCTGAATATATTGTTCAGTTGCATTGCTGTGAAAGGAACTGGGGGAACTGGTTTGGCTATTTCCTGTATCTTCAGGCTAGAAAAGACCTCCATCTCTGGGCAGGATGTGGGGAAGACTTGCCTCAGTCACTACGTAGTGCTCCATGTGCTTTTATTAACAGCTGATTATAAAAGTTCCTGTTGCATGCTAAAAAAAGAAAGTGGTGCTTGCTATTTTGCACAAATTTTTCAGTTTCTCTTATGAGTAATATTTATGGAGAAGATACAGTAAGAATAATAGGAATGATGCACATTTTAGATAGTTCTAACCACTTTACCTTCTCAAATACCAAAGTTCAACCCACCGTGTGGAAATGCAGATGGATTCACAGTCAGCAGGTTCTGCATGGAAGAAGCTGCTGGCTGGTACAGAAGTGAGCTACTCCAGACTTCAGTGCACATTTCATTGTAATAAATTAGTTCAACATTGGTTTACCTTGAACACGTTTGCTAACCATCTACCAGCACACATACTTGCATAATTTAAAAAAAATGTTGATCCTTTTCAAGAGACTTGCCACTACTCGTTCCTTGGAAAAAAGGGCAGATCAACAGGCTGTGACCACTGAAGGATAAAATCCAAGCCCTGTGCAGGTCATTAGAGATTTCATCACTGGCCTCAGCTATGTCAAGATTACATGAAACCTACTCGAAGTCAAAGAGACCTGAGACAAAATGAAGAAGCTGTAAAACACACGCCAAACGGTCTGGTTAATTCACAAACTGAGTTCTTTTGGAAAACCTTTTTGTAAAATATTCTTACCATTCTTATTAAACTTATTCTGGAAAAATATTCCTAATAATACACAATGAAATAACTGTACTGCAGTCTCTGAGACCTAGGCATCTTAATTAGCTATTTTAAATTTTCCTTTTTTTCCACTAAATTCTCTGCATTTCCTATTGTTTTATTAAACTTTGACACTTCATGAAATTATTTTAATATTTTTTCCTTCTGCCTTGTGAATTTGAAAGCTAAATCCAATGAACTGTATTAACTCGGGCAACACAATATCAGCATACTTCTGAGCAAATTAAAGCAGGACTTTTAAAAACACTCAAGGGAGAAAATGTTTGCGTCTTTTTTTGCTGAGACTTCAACTTCTAAATCATGTGACTTTTCTGACTTGAGAAGAAAGAAACCAGGCGTTCTTACACTGCAGTAGGTTCCCTGATAGTGTGACTTCCTCATTGTGAAATGCAAAACAAGGAGAGTTGAGACAACACAAATGCTGTTGTCTTTCACAGAGACAGTATTCCCCATTTCTGATTCCAGTCTAATAATTTCTAGGAAATGAAAAAATCTGTATTCATTAAAGGTATGTTTTTAAGCTGAGTCTGGTAGTTTATTCAGATTCGTTCTCCCTACTAAACACCTTGTCCTGAGGGATTTCTAGACTCACAACTCATGAAATAAATTTTAATTTTTCTACTACTAGTCACTGGCAGTTGCTTAGTGATATGGAAATGCTTCTATTCTTTGGGCATCTCTGTTCTTGCTCCAGTAGAGGGTAAACTGAGCCACTTAGGCTGTTTGCATAAATCCTAAATTATTCTCCCAGGCCTTCAGGCACTTTCCACTGCGTGCTAACACCAGCCACCCGAACACACACTTTACAAACACTTCTTTATACAATCCTCTTGCAGTATCATGTTCCATGCTAAGTGAAGGCCAACCTTGTAGTTTGTTGGATACATTAAAAAATGGGGGGGTGTGTTGTGAGAGTCAGCAGCATGACTTGGTGTCTTCCCAAATCCCAAACCACTCTTAAAACAAGTCAGATTAAGCTAAATGTAAGATAAAGAGCTCCTATGCAGTATCTAAGAATGTACATGATAGTGGCACAGCTAATAGAAGAGGGTGAAAAGCAAACCACACATATGGCAAAGACTTGTACTTCTCTGGGTGGCCCAGTGGCAGGTCCGTGGACCACACAGTCATCTAGGTCATGATGCAGCTCGTTCCTCAGCATACAGCAGTATCTCTAGGTAATACCCAGAGGAAGGCAGGGCTGAGGATAATTCTTCCATCCTTTCATACTCCAAAATCATGTTGTTGAGTCTACGCAGATGGAATTTTCCTCATCACACTCCCTCTCTCCTCAGTGACATCCATACCGCTATCGGGATGGCATGGCAGCCTCCCTTACAGCAGACTACTGGCAGATCCCCCTGCTTTAAACCCACTCCGTGCATCTCCCAGCACAACCCCTTCCCCTCCAGTCAGGCGGGTTACGGTGCGTGTCCCAGCCTGGGAAACGTCCCAACCCCAAGGTTAAACTTCAGTGGTTCGGACTGGTTTCCGTAAGGACGCTCCTGCCCGGGGGTGTACCTTCGTGCTAGACACGCTCCCCCGCGCTCGGGGTTGGATACGGATCAGTGCTCCGTGTTTCCCAAACACTGCGGCTTTTTCCCTCTCCCTCCCCACAGCGGCGCACGAAGTGTCCCCAACGCCGCCCCGCGCTCTGCGGCCAGGGCGGCGCCACGGCCCCTAACGCGGGGCCCGCGCAGGGAGAGAGAGCCCCCAGCCGAGGGCCATGTCCGGCGCGGCTTTCGGGGTCCCGCGGCAGCCGGTGCCGAGGGTCCCTGAGGGGAGTACCGGGGTCCCTGAGGGTCGTGCCGGGGGTCCCTGAGGGCCGTGCCGTGGTCCCTGAGGGGGATGCCGGGGTCTCTGACGGCCGTGCCGGGGGCCCCTAAGGGCAGTATCGGGGGTCTCTGAGGACGGTGCCGGGGGTCTCTGAGGGGGGTACCGGGGTCTCTGAGGGAGGTGCCGGGGTCCATGAGGGCAGTGTCGGGGGTCTCTGAGGGAGGTGCCGGGGTCCATGAGGGCAGTGTCGGGGGTCTCTGAGGGCCGTGCCGGGGTCCCTGAGGGCCGTGCCGGGGGTCCCTAAGGCCGTGCCGGGGGTCCCTGAGGGCTGGTCCCGTCGCCCAGGGAGAGCCGCCGAGGTCTCGCCCTGCAGCGCCACCCAGCCCCGCCAGGGGGCGCCGCGCGCGGAGGGGGCAGGGCGAGTCACGAGACGGCCGCAGCTGTTGCTGGCAGGCCCGGGCAGGATTCCGGGGAAGGGCGCGGCCATTGGCTGAGAGCGAGCACGGCGGACGCTCCCATTGGCCGGTGGGCGGGGAAGGCGGGGCGAGAATGTCTTTAAATATGGCGGCCGAGGCGGGTGCTTTGCATTCTCCGAGCCGGGGAAGGAGCGAGAGCGAAGCGGAGCCGCCAGCAGCCGAACGCCGCCGGGACATGCTCGCAGCCTGACTGACCGCAGGTGGCCGCCGCGCCCGGGACACGAATGAAGAAGCAGCTGCTCCTCCTGTTCACACATCGGGGACTCGTCAGCCGAGGGGGCCGCAGGGGGAAGCGTCGCCGAAAATGGCCTCGTTCAGCATCCGCGCCGCGCGTCCCGAGGACTGTCCCGACCTGCTGCGACTGATCAAGGTACGGGCGGGGTGCGGGGCGGGGGGGCAGCGCTGCCCGGTGCCGGAGCAAAACAAACTTGCGCAAGGGCGGGAGGCGGGGAGAGGCCACTCACAGCCTCCTTCTCTTCCAGGAGCTGGCGAAATACGAGGATATGGAGGACCAAGTGGTGCTAACTGAGAAAGGTACGGAGTCTACAAGAGCTCACCCGGCTGGCGGCCGAGTGACAGCGCCTGTGGCTCAGGTGCGTGTGTATTCTGCTTTTCTAGAGCTACTTGAGGATGGTTTTGGCGAGCACCCTTTCTACCACTGTCTGGTAGCAGAAGTACCGAAAGATCAGTGGTCGTCTAAAGGTGAGACTTCCTGATACTTATTTTTGGACGCTAAATACACAGAAGCATCATTTGCTTAATATTAACGATTGTAGATGAGGTTCCATCAGTGGACTGGGGTAGGAGAACTAGGTTAACTGGTAAAATTCAGTAATATGTAGTGGCACTCTGCTGAAGTGCTTGCTAATCCTGGAAGCATGGGAGATCAGGTATAACATAATGATGCTTGACTCCAATTATTTAATGACTTTTTTTGTTTGACCCTGACTTACCTTTATGTAATTCTGTTGAATCACATTTTTTTCTTTAATTTGTCCCCAATCTTCAGGTTACAGTCTCTAGCTTCGCCATGTACATGGCCCTTCTGTGTACATGGATGGGCGGGGAGGTAACTAAAAGATCCGTTACACAATAAAGTAGATGATCATAACATGAGGTAAGGTCTACAGGGACAAGTGCTATTCCCAAACCTTTACCAAAGACACAGTAGATGACAGAAACCTGTTTGCACGCTTCTTACAGTATGTGCAGAGTTTTGTGGCAGATGTACTTAAAATACTCAGGGTTGAGTGGGCTGTTGTTGGAAGAGTTGGCTTCTCTTCTATCTTGAGCCACAGAGTTATAATTGAGCTGCAGCTTTACTTATCTTGACTTCCTGATGGTGAAGGAAAAGAAAACAGCATGATGCTAGGTGGAAGTGCTTGAAGTGCTGCTGTAAAGGTGGCCTGTAAATAGGCCTTCTGGCACAGTAGTTACTGAGGAATATACATGGAAAGACCAGGGTTTGAAAGACTATTCCCAAAGAAGCTGAGCTGGGGCAATCCCCTAGATTGTGAGCTGCTGTGTGAAGTTCTTACTTGTCTTCCAGACTGGAAGTGAATCATTAGGGTGTGCATTATTTTGTAGAAAAAAGCCATGTTAGCACTTAGTATGACAGTGCTTTTGAGGATTTCAGGGTATGGACAGGGCAATTTTTTTTTATTAGGCTGATACAAATTTATCAGAACTTGTGTTTTCAATTGTATGTTTATTTGCAAACTTCATTTTTAATTGTAACCCAATATCAAATGTCTGCATGTCCCAGAGAATCTGTATGTTTAAACATGCATGTAAAACTTAATATTTTTACCTTTTTAATTCCATCTAATTGAAGTTGCACCCTCTGTTTCAGAAACATGCGTCGTGGGCTTTGCCATGTATTACTTCACTTACGATCCATGGATTGGAAAACTGCTGTACCTTGAAGATTTTTATGTGATGGCTGAGTACAGAGGTACCTATTGCAAAACTAGATGAGTTGCTACCCATAGGGCTTCTGTAGATTTGAAACTTAAGTTGCTTATTTTTTGTTTTTTTTAGGACTTGGTATTGGGTCGGAAATTCTGAAGAACTTGAGTCAGGTATGTCTAATTGCGAAGACTAAACAAGAATTAAAGGAGGTGGCAAGACTCTAGACAGCTTAAAACATTGCCTAGAGTCTGTAAACTTTGAGAAATGCTGCAGTGGCTGCTGGCATGAACTCGATGACTTGTTGAGTAATGTTGTAACTGGGGCTGTCCCTGGGCACTGTGACCATGTGGGCTTGGCTTTGCAGGTGGCTGTGAAGTGCCGCTGCAGCAGCATGCACTTCCTGGTTGCGGAGTGGAATGAACCCTCCATCAGGTTCTACAAGAGAAGAGGCGCCTCGGATCTGTCCACTGAGGAGGGCTGGAGGCTCTTCAAGATCGACAAAGAATATCTCTTGAAGATGGCAGCAGAAGAGTGAGAGATTATTCCAGCAAATAAATTCTTCCTGCGAATATATGTGCTCTTTGAATAAACTACTTCTTGCTTTCTGTGTATGTACAGTTTGTAGTGGAATAAAGTAGTGTGGATGCTAATAATGGCAGTGCAGGTGTGGTCATAGAGTAATGGTACTGTGATCAGGAGCTGAGGCATCTGTGAAGTTCAGTATGTGCTTGTGTGCAGCCTTTACCAGTGTGGGCTTGTAATTCTTGTATATGGAAACTTCATTCTTGTAAGTGTCATTCAAATGTGTACAATGTACACACTGGTAGGGTTTGTTTTAATTATTGCCTTTTATAAAAATAAAATAGTGTTTTCACTTCATGGCTGTAGTTCTTGCTTTAATTCTCTCATAAACTTTTCCATCGAATAATGTGCAGATTGATAAAAGACTGGAATGACTTCAACCTTCCCACAAGTAAAATGATGTGCCATGTTCCCAGTGGGATAAAAGTGCACTTGTGCCTGTGGGACCTGGGTGCCAAGGCTGAGCACCTGAGTGTTTGAAAGGGTTTTTGATCAACCCACTGATGCTCAAGCATCCTGGCTTGTGTCCTGTATTTTCATTTATAGTTGGAGTCCCTAAATTAGGTTGCTACTCTCTGGACAGCTGTTCCAGAAAGCCCAGAGCTTGGGACTTCCACTTAACCTGCAGAGCATCCTCAGCTGGAAGGTGAGGCAGAGCTTTGAAGGCAAAGATGCATCCTGGTGTGGTTTCAAGGCCTAAGTAACAAAAGTTGGTTCTGACTGGTCGCATGAAATGAAAGTATATTTACAAACCCCACAAAAAGCTCCATTATGTGATTCTTAAACCACCAAACTTGAGTGCTTCTTGTGGCATGTGTTTCTGATCATGATTTCAGATTAGGTTCAGCATTTGTGCTGAGTGATAAGTGCTGTGTTAAGCAATAGGAAACCAGCCTTGTGTTTAAGCCTTTGCACAGTAGCAGGTGAAAACTGCTGTTCATCAATTTTTTAGTTGTCTTTGAAACAAATTAACAACTTTGTAGTACTGTGTTTTCCCTTTTCCTAAGTTGATGGTGAAAGTGGATGCATGCAGACTTTGTGCTGCTCTCCTCTTGTTCTCTGGTAACCCTGCAATAAAAGGCTTTTTTTGGCCAGCACTGCTTTCACTTTGAAGGAAGGGAAGAGACTTAGCTGCCTTGTAACATAAACTGGTTTAAATAAAACAAGGTTGTAAACCTGCTGGTTGCTGCATAAATCATGTGTCACATGGAAGGTGTTTCCTCATCCTGGAGAGTAGCGGGCAGAGACTGCTTCAGCCATGGGAAATGCTGAACTAATTGTAGGAATAAGGTATCACTCTGCCCAGGCCAACAGAGAGCTGTGCATGAAACTGTTCTTACTTTTTTTCATTTTCATTTTTAGCTGACGTGTAGTCAGCAGGTACCGGCTGTGAGGTTTGGCTGTTGCTTCAAGAGTGAGAACACTAATAAAAAATACAGGAGCTCTTGGAAGAGAGCAGAAGGTAGCTCTTCCTTAGGGATGTTGGTGGACAAGAAGCCCAGAAAACCAACCATGTCCTGGGCTGCATCCAGAGCCCTGTGGGCAGCAGGTCAAGGGAGGGGGCTCTGCCCCTCTGCTCCACTCTGGTGAGACCCACCCAGAGTGCTGCATCCAGCCCGGGGATCCCCAACATAAGAAGGATGCAAACCTGCTGGAGTGAGTTCAGAGGAGGCCTTGAAGATGGTCAGAGGGCTGGAGCACCTCTCCCATGAACACAGACTGAAAGAGTTGGAGCTGCTCAGCCTGGAGTAGAGAGGGCTCCAGAGACACCCAGCATCTTTCCAATACCTAAAGAGGCTACAGAAAGCTGGAGAGGGACTTTTCACACGGGCAAGAGGGATTTAAGCTGTAGGAGGATAGGTTTAGATTAGCTAGTAAGAAGAAATTTTTACTGTGAGGATGGTGAGGCACTGGAATGGGTTGCCCAGAGTTGTGGACGTCTCATCCGTGAAAGCATTCAAGGCCAGGCTGGATGAGGCTTTGAGCAGCCTGGTCTAGTGGGTGACATCCCTGACCATGGAGGAGGCTGGAAGGAGATGGCCTGTGAGGCCCCTTCCAACCCAAACCATTCTATGGTTCTGTGATATGGTTCCAGTGCTTATCTGGACTAACTCCAGCTGGACTGAGAATGGAATCTGTCACAAAAATTACCTCAATTGAGCATGTCAGGTTCTGCATAAGAAACATCCATTTCCAGGACTGTCCTGTCTGTGCAGCACCTCAGCTGCTCTGGAGCATTCATACCACACACAGCAGCCTGAGGCTCAATCCCTCTCCTACCCAAAGGCAGTGGAAATCTGTGTTTCTCACTTGGCCAAAGATTAAATGCCAGGCTACAAATCTCTCTACCCTTGCTGAGCCTTTACTCTTCTGGAATTCAGTAGGCCAAAGGAAGAGAAAACAAGCATACCCAAAGAACCAGCCCAAGAACTGGTGATGGAGGCAGAATGGGAAAGAGGAGATGGTCCCAAGCAGTTCTCACTGAGCATCAGGGTGTTGTATCATCTCCCTGGTGAAGATGTAGTAACTTCACATGTTACTCTGCGAGCTACATTAACCTCCTGCATCTCATATCTACTGCATCTCAGTCCTAGTGCAATCTGTTTTGAAGTTATTTTAAGCTTGTGCTTCTGGCTCTGTTTATCAGACCAGAAGGTGATTGCTAGTAGAACAGTTTAAGAGTGTTTTTATTTTGAAATTAACAGTTCATTGGATATCTAGGGCAGGCCTGCTTAAATCTCAGGCCCCAGACTTCTGGAACACAATAAAGCTATCAAAGCTTCATGACTGAATGGAACAAGCTAACTAATTAGGCATTATAATTAGGAAAATAAGCAGCTTAATCAAAATTTTAATAAATTTAAAATTGTTTATCATATCTTGTTCGTCTTCTGCCAATGTGGCTTACCATTGCATTTTCTGAACAAATTCTGATGGAATAGATTCTCAGGGAGTCACAGAAAACAAGTGAGTCAGTGCTAAATGGGACCTTCTCTAGCCAATGGGGATAATTTTAAACATTCATACATGAAAGAAAATACAAGGACCAACCTTTCAGATATGACTTTTGCTGAGATCCTACTAAGAGGCAGGGTTTTTTAAATCAGCAGAATATTCTCACCATTTTGGTAAGAGAGTCTGCAACAGGGATGTGGTAATGCCACGGCTCAAGAAAAGACCAGTTTTAAATTCCCTCAGTAACTTTTTCTCAAGCTACGGGAGGACCAAAGTGCCTATGGAACTGCAATTGAAACATACAGCAGAGTGTTTTCTGTGGCTTTAGGTGCTGGAGAAGCCTCACCTGGTGGTGACTTTCCCGGAGCACAATCGCACAGTCGCCAGGCTGAGAGTGCCAGCCTATGATGGGGGCTGAGCAATACCAGCTGTCTTTGAGCTGGTCACAGGTGCCCCACCAGTGGGAGTCCATCGCAGCAGAGGCACGGGGCTGGCCCGTGTGACCTGTGTGACCTGCAGGTCAGCCAGCGCTGCGCTGTTCCCTGCTGCACCGAGCCTGCCTCCGGGGAAGGGTTCAGGAGCGAGAGTTACCAGCGCTGATAACATCGATAACATCGCCAGGGAGACGGGGTGCAAAGCTCCTCCTCGCTCTCCCTCTCAGACTCGTGCCCCGGGAAGTTCTCCTCACGCGGAGCCAGAGGAACATTTCGCAATGGCGGAGTTTCCACATTCCCATCGGGAGGGGACAGAAGGGTGGCCTTGCGGCAGGAGGATGCGTCAGGACCGTCCCGGCTGCGAGCAGAGGGAGCGCTGGGCCCGCCGCCCTCTCCGCTTGGCCTTTTCCTGTTCACAGGCTCCCGCACAATGATCCGAGCTGTAGCCATAGCGACGGCATGGAAGGAGGCTTTTTTTGTCTACATAAGTTAGAACAAAATATATGTGAGAAAAACAACCCTTCCCCCTCCCCTCTTCTTATAAAGAGCCTTCACTGTCTATGTAATTCAAAAAGCCAAACTTTTCCTGTGAAAAAGCATATGGGGGCCTTACTGCACAGTGTTTTGTCTTAGGACAGTCGCTGTCCTGGAGCCTGGCCCGGGGGAGCGCAGTTCTCAGGGCAAACACCGGCTCTGTACAGAGCGGGACTCGGGAAAGCTCGGCCTAATTCCCCGCCAGGCAGCGCTGCCTCGGGCTGGAGGCCAGCCCAGGGGTGTGTGTTGTGGCTCCCTTTCTTTGAGTTGAGCAGGAGCTTTCTTTCCTTCGGGTTGCTGGAGCTTCCTCGTCACGGTGCTCGCTGCTTCCCTCAGGGAGCAAAGCTGAGCTCAGAGCACGCAGGGCCTGACGGGTGGGCCTGAGCAGACCTGCGGGTTTGAATAATTCACCTCACGCAAGGACTCGGCTGTGGCTGGTTGTTTTGCTTGCCTGGGCAGGATTGCTAAATTTTTTTCTTTTTTGTTTTTGCTTTTGTTTTTGTTTTGATTTTTTTTTTTTGAGCTCAGGTTTCAGAGAAGTGGCTGCAATTTAAACAAAGGCCTCAGAGTCTGTCTGAAACCAAGCAGCAAAGCAGAACTGAGCCTGCTGTCAATGTTTAATCTTGCTGCAAACTCAAAGCAGCCTCTAACTTCACCATCCAGGCAAGATTCCCTCGCAGGACTCTTCTTTCTCTCACCCAGACCTGGCTAACTTTTTTTACTGTCCAGACATTTTTTGGTAAATACAACCTTGATGGAGGGCTTTGGAACCCATCGGGAGCTCAGACTTGTCCCCAAGCTTGTGGAGCAGAGGGTGTGAGGCTGAAGAGAGTGGGTGTAGATGTGGGCTCTGGGGCAGGAATGTTGGATCCCAGAAATCTGGAGTTTTTGAGCTTTCTGTGCTTTCAGGCAGAGACCCCCTGGAAAATACTGCTTTTGACCTGAAGTCTTGAAAACGGCTTCTAAATATGAGTGGTAAAGTAGAAATCACGAGTGTGTCCGTGAATTAAAAGTGTGTGCTTTCACAAGGTGATGGGTTTTAAATTTGAAGTTTTTATAGTATAGTAATAAGTATAAGAAAAGATGAAGAATTTTAGGCGTTGTCTCTTTCTTTGTTCATCTTTCTTCTTCCTTCTTCATAGTTTTCAAGTAC